ATGCAGAGTGCAACAGACTGTTGGTTGACTTCGGAAGTTACAGCATTTTGGAAATGACCTCTGACTCCATGCTTCCAACTAGGTTCTGGTCCAATGAAGCCGCTTGCAGCACCCTCCTTTACAAGAGAGTCAGCAGCTTCATTGCCTTCCAGGCCAGTATGGCCAGGAATCTAGACCAGAGACAATCTGTTGAGTCTTTCTATCGAGGAGAGTCGTTTTGGACAATGTGCCACCAATTTAGACGTTTCTCGCTTTGAGCCAGTAGTATGAGTTCCTAGGCAGGTAGATAACTCTGTCCTGGGTCTGCGACTGAAAACACCTGCACCACAACCGGAAGGTGTTTTTGATCCATCCGTGAATCAACAACTTTCTGCTCTTGATATTTCCTTCTCCCGCAGAATCTAGTCTTCTCTACTCGAAAATAATACTTTATAAGGCAGTTTGTAGTTGACAGTTGGAGTCAGTTAGAAGTAATTTCCCGAATGCTGTGACTTCCAGTGTCATCCAACAATCTGTTGCACTCTGCATTGAATTGATTTGTGCAATTGGCGAAGTGCACAAGTCTATATGCAGTCCATTAGCCCCTTTCTCCAGAAAAATGTGGAGAGGAGATGGATCTAGAAGGATCTCGTTTGTTTGACGGTAGTTGATAAAAATCTCTATAGTTGCTGATGGTGTGCACTGATGACCAGACAAGCATGTCTCTGTAAGCCAGATGACCGTGACCTGTAGAAAGGCCTGTTCTACATCGTAGTTCATTTCTACTGTATTCTAACAAATGTTTGGTATCAAGAGCTTCGAAGGGTGAATAAACACCTTGGAGTGAGCCAATCCTGCCAGTCGGGCGTTCAATCCTTAACAAAGCCTAAAGCGATGACAATGAGAGGTTCTGGTCCGATGAAGCTGCTTACAGCATCCTTTATGCAAGGAAGTCAGCAGCCTCATTGCCTTTCAGGCCAGTATGGCCAGGAATCTAGATCGAAGAAAATTTGTCTTTCTGTCGAGAACAGTTGTTTTTGGCAATTTGCTACCAAATTTAGACATTGCTTGGTAGGAGCCAAAACCTTCCAACGCCGCTTGACTGTCCGACCATATATTGATTGACTTGTGAATGAGGTTGGATTCAATAGCGTGAATTTCCGATTGAAAAACAATCTCTTTTCAGCCTACTGCAATATGATATTGAACGATTTTTGACCAATTTGCTCTAAGAATTCAAATTGAACCAAGGCGCTGCCAAAACAGTTAAAAGAAAGCAACCAGGTCTGCGAAATTTTCTTCCAGAATTTTTGCCTCGAAGATGAGCCCCGTAGAGGTTGACATACAGTAATCTAGGACGGGGATTTGAGGACTCTGGTGGAGACTGACCTATTATAAACAGTGCGTGGGATGACTGAAGAACTAGTCGTCAGCTCCCATGTGGTTTTTGATTGTTTAAAACGCATTGGAAAGTTCAGAAAGTTCAAAAAGTGGGTGCCTCATGACTTAAATGATCAACCGAAATTTTTACGATTCGAAGTCTGTTCTTCTGCAAGTGTAGAATGAACGAATTTCCATTCATTTCAAGTCGATGGAGGGGGGCAAGTGAAACGTGGATCAATGAAAAAATATTCGTTTTTACTCATCTTCGGAGATATAGGTGATCTTATAGAAATGAATAATGAAAATATACTTTTTCCGATGAGCCACATTTTTCATATGTGCAACAATCAATAGGTAAATTTAGGGGTTCAATATGATTATTTACATTCACGAACCATTGATTAGAATAATCAGGTAATTAGACTCGAAATATTTCATTCAGTTTTTATAAACATGTCGTTTTGTACAGATCCAAGAGATTTCTCATAATGAATTGACAATGGTAACATCATTTTTTTTGTAATTTTTCCAACTTCATATACAATAAATATGAATATATATTCACTTCCCTACAGAAGAGTTACAGCAGTGGAATTTTTGAATTAGACTGGATTTGTTCATTCCTTGTTGATGTTTCGCAATTAAAATTTCAAAGAATATGAACAAAGAAAACACAAACAATCAAGATTCCTTCATGGAACAGAGCTCTTTTCAAAACATTGCATTGCTGAGTTTCTCATTTCATTCATCTGTGAGTTGTATTGTCGTAATTTCATTATATTCGTCTGCATCATATTACAGAACAGACTCCATGAGGATTTATACAGGTTAATTTAGTAGTGTATGCCATACAAAAAAATGAATAGTCACTGAGATCGATTGAAGTCTAATGGATGATGATGATGAAGTAGATATATTTCCAGGCTTCAGTAGAGAAATGTAGTTCAGGACTTACTGATTGAAGGAACTCTGCAGTGAATCTTTCACTTTCGTATCATATTACTGTAGGATAATCCTACCAAAAAAAGCAATTTCAGAAAAAGCATTCCACGAAGATGCCTTTTTCTGAAAGTTTTCGAGAAGTGCGGTTCAAGATGAATGAATTCAAACCAGAGAGATGGAAACCTGTAATTTGCTTTGTATAGGATCTCTCATCAACCGCTTTCTATCTTTGATTTTGAATAAAACAAATTGTGTCTCAGATATCATCAACATTTTTTATTCGTTTGAAAGACCTATTGATGCCATTATGTGTGCAACATATCCGCCAAGTTTCCTGTGGGTGGGGCGCATCCGAAAAGTTCAATTTTCCATGACTCTGGAGAGTAAATCAGGTTGATTTAACCGATAACACTAACGGGTGATTTTTTTAAGAGGTATAGGATTTGATTTTCGAAACAACACAAAAAAATTTAAAAATTGATTAAACCTTTATTGGAATCGATAGCAAGATTATTCACGCGTGATCTGTCAAAAACAGCCAAAAAGATACCAGCTAAATAATCACTCTAGTTTGGTTGGCATTGGGGACAGCCATGGTTTGTGGTTTATTCGTCTACACCTGCGACTTAGAAAACAAGAATAGGAAAGTATGACTGGTTCAAATCGCACTATCTCGGTGGCCAGTTCACATCACCTCCACCTGAGATGACCTTGCCCTCACATTGCACGTGCAGAATATTCAATGCGGCATGAGCTGTTTGGCACGTTGCGCTGTCCTGTTGGAACAACATGTATTTGGTGTCCAGACCATCCAATTTACTCCTGAAGAGGTTGGTAATCATTGACCTATAGCGATGGCCTGGCCAACGTCGATTACTCCGCCAGCCCAAAATCCACACCAACCAGTGACTTTTTCGAAAAGCTTCGAACGCTTCTGGTATCGTTCCAAATTCGGCAATTTCATTTGTTTACGTACCTATTCATTTAGAAATAGGTCTCGTCGCTGGTCAGTTACCAGCGAACACACGTCTTCATCTATGGTCGTTCACCATCAGTTTCTGATCAGTTGAATTTTGTGCGGGTGCCTCGATTGCCTTGGATTCTTCTGCATACTCTCACAGACAGCGGCGATGTTTTCTACAGATCTTGCCTTTCGTCGACGTAAGGGTGTTGATCTCTCGTTTAAGGAACTAGTGGACACAAATTTATCCACCTTATTGCGAATATTCATCTCGGTAGGACGATTATGGCGACCATAAAATTGACGAAGCGTGCAGTACGTTGATCAACTATGATATCCATTTTCATACAATTCTATCATTGGCCCTGGTTTTTGAATTTTGATTTGGAAAAACAGACTGAATAAATGACAACTGATTTGACAGATGTAGCTTTAACGAGATGGCCATTATCAATTGTCAGAGTTAGAAAGTCCCTGTTGGGAGACTCTCTACTCATGAATAGTAAAATTACGCAGGCTTATTGAGTCGAACAAACTTTTCAAAAAAAGAAACTAGTCTCTAACCTTCTCTCTGTATTCTTTCACATCGATTTTTTTTATCAAAATGTAACAGCTTCAAAATATGTTGAACTAATGAACTTTGTTCGTGTGACATAAATGACAGTCGAATCTAACGTCTAACGAACGTTATGAAACGTTCAAATATTCTTTGGTTATTATCTCTTCAGCCAAAATGATTTTAGGATCTTTATTGAAGTATGAAACTTTTTTCCCTTGCACTTTCTGTCCAAAATCTAAACTCAAGGTTACCAAACTTTTTGTTATCATAGATTACGAATAAGAAGTGAGAATTGATCAGCTGATAAATTAATTGATTGAACTGTGATTGGATGTTGAAAAAGTGAAGTTTTTATACTAAAAAAGTTATTCCATCCAACTTTGGATGACATCTACTCACAGCACAAGAAACCAAACAAAATTCTCACTTATTTTATTCAAAACTCCCCATTTGGTGTGTTGGAAATGAAATATAGACCATATTGAATCAAAAACCAATGCAATTGAATATGATGGTTCGAATATCAAACCATGAAACATATAGGAACATCTGCAGATAGTGTTGAATTCTTCAATAATTATTTGAGGGGAAGATATCAGAGTATGACATTAGCAGCCTATAAGTCGAATTTCCTAGAACTGAAGTCGGGAGTGCCACAAGGTTCAATCCTAGGTCCACTTGTCTCTTCTATTTATACCAGCCAGCTCGTCAACTCCCTTGGAAATTGCTCTTCTCATTAATACGCAGACAACACACAGATCTATATCTCTTTCAAACCTGAAGAAGTCGACAAGGCTTGTGTACAAGTTAATAAAGACATTAATAATTTTGTTGAAACTGCAACTGATCATTGTCTAGTTAACATCCCAAAAAAGTCGAATGTTTTAATATTTGGGCCAAAAAATGTCAGGAAGAAGATTGAAGATGAAATAAAAATGAAAATACTTGACAAGGACCTGTCCATTGAAGATCAAGCGAAAAGTCTGGGACTTTTTCTCGAAAGTAATTCAAGATTCGAAACACATGTGAAAAAACTTATTCAAAAGGCTTATGTAACTCTCAAGATTATTTATGGAAATAGAAATTTTCTTACAAAAGCAACAAAAATAATGTTAATAATGTGATAGTTTGGTTTTGTCTACCCTGNGGTTGTTATCTCAGAATGGAACTTTCTATCGTAAATATGACGAACGAGTCTTTAGAAGTGGAGTGTACGGAAGGATTTGATGGTATGTACGTTACTGTCACAATTTACATGAATTGTGAGCCTTTTTCATAGTCTTCTTGAATGATTGTATCAGAATCCGTTCAATGTATAGATGGTTTCTGAGTAAATGCCTTTGTTAAAGGTATTTCTCGTATTTCCATGTGAAAAAACATCCAATATCATTTTCACGAGTTCAATAATATTGTATTCAACAAAAATAATGTAATGGAGCTTGAAAGTGTAGATAAAGCATATTTTGGCCCTAGTCAAAACCATTTTCAATCAAGTATGGCACAACTCAGACCAAAGTTTCAACGCAAACGGTCCATACAAAGGTCTCTGGTTCATAGAGCTGGCTACCTCCAGTGCTATCAGCGCCATACCTTCGGCAGCCACAGAAGTATTTCTAGACCCACCTCCCTCCCACTGGAGAAGGAGAAGGAGACTAAATAGTCCATCTGGACCACTTTGGGAGTCACTGATCTGAACTCTATTGGTTTTCCAACAAGAGTTTGACAATTATCAAGACACGATTCACGCGTGATCTGTCAAAAACAGCCAAAAAGATACCAGCTAAATAATCACTCTAGTTTGGTTGGCATTGGGGACAGCCATGGTTTGTGGTTTATTCGTCTACACCTGCGACTTAGAAAACAAGAATAGGAAAGTATGACTGGTTCAAATCGCACAATCTCGGTGGCCAGTTCACATCACCTCCACCTGAGATGACCTTGCCCTCACATTGCACGTGCAGAATATTCAATGCGGCATGAGCTGTTTGGCACGTTGCGCTGTCCTGTTGGAACAACATGTATTTGGTNATAATTACCGTTCAAATCACTTGCCGAATCCTCTTCCCGATTTTTTCCAATGCTTTTTGATTCTTCAGTTGTTTTTCGCTCAGTTTTCTATATGAATTTCTTATCAAAATCTTTACTATTGCATAAAACATCCATTTAACTAAGTGATGAGTACACAAGCACGTGAATTGGAATTTTCTAATATAGTTTATTACGAACCTTCAGATGGAACATTTACACAATTTTATTTCATGAATCAATAAATAACGGAAAGAATTGAAGTCAGAAACTACTGTGTAATAAATTTAAAAAGCTCTGACTCGAAATCCTACTCTACTTTCTATGCTACTAGAACATTTTGTGGAGATTGCCACTATCGTTTGTAAATGGTGGTATATTTAGGTGTTAGGAATCACACGTTGAAAGGTAAGACCTCGTTAATCCTTAGCTCGCACTGGTTTCAATTTCTGAGGGTTGTCGTTGAGCGACAGCTGGTTGGAAGAAAAACATATTTTAAACAGATAGATTTGTGGTAGTGAAAAGTTTAGAATTCATCACGTGTGGAGAATTTCTTCTTCATTGACAGCAAATTTCATATGCCAATGTAAACGTCGTCAGCTTGAGTATGTACTCGTTTTTCAATCCCTCTGCAAAATCAAACTAGTTTTAGGATAGTCATTCGTTCTCACGCAATCACTAATGAACATGATCAGTCGAAAGCTTTTTTGTGACCTAGTAAGTCACATCCCAATACATTTTACTGTCCTTTGAATAACCTCTATCAGAAAATAACACCCAGTGGTCACTTCTGAAAGTTTTGTAGTCAACCCCACTACGATAATTCCTATTGAATCCTTCCAAATGAAGTTATCCCACCTTAACAAACCCATAAAAACAAAAAGGATACCTCAGCTCCAGACCCATCCTGTCTGCATAAACTTCAGCTCGGCCATTCCCAATTTGTTCCACCACTTAACCGCCGAATAAGTACGAGTTCCGAACTCCGTTATTCACTTTTTTCTCTCGTTGTAGGAGGCCAGCCCCAATACTTCCTGCTGGAAGTATACGATTCGAGCACGGGTGTTCAGCTGGCGAACGTTTCTGCCAAGTTTCCAGTATTTATCGTGAGTGGACTCGATCCGGGAAAAACACTCAAGATGGTTGTGTACGGGGCCAACACCAAAGGAAGGAGCGAACAGGTCTCATTGGAGGGATTCACGCTGAATATCGCTGAAAAACAAACAGGTAGAGTCTTTATTTTTTGGTTTCCTTTTTTGCAGAGAGGGCTGCTTCTATAAGAATTTATAATGGGTGTGACCGGAAAAAACGGCGCATTCAGTCTTGTATAAAATGATCTGCATATACAGGGTATGGTCTATTAGACGTATCTGGAGAACAAAAAAAGATGAGAGTTTTGAATTTTGGTTACCGATGTAAATGGTGGTGATCTATCGTTTGAAAATATTTTCATCACCGAAATGTTGCCACATCTACATGTAACAGACATCAACTTGGAAATTTCAAATGGAACACCTTATATATTATATCATTTTTGAATTCTGCATCAAAATTCAAATTACTTTTGTTGAATATAACACATGAATTAACTGATACATCAAACTCAACTTCTGGCAATATTGAGATAAGATATGGTGGTTGTTATCTCAGAATGAAACTTAAATCTCATTTTACACAGTGTCTGGAAAATATGTCTAAATTTGTATCTTCGATAAACGACCATAACTAATTTTTTTCAAATGGAACATCCTGTATATTATTCAATTTTCGAATTCAGTCAACTAATGTGAACAACTTCAATCAACTATGTCCTATACCTATACAACTATGTCCTATACCTCTAACCGTTTATGAGATAAAAATTCTTCTATAATTTTTTTTTCTATACAAATATAACATTTCAAATGCAAAATTCGGGNACAACATGTTTCATAAAAGGAATTTGGATTTTGATGCATAATTCAAAAATGATATAATATATAGGGTATTTTATTTGAAATTTACAAGTTGATGTCTGTTACATGTGGATGTGGCAACATTGCGGTGATGAAAATATTTTCAAACGATAGATCACAATTATTTACATTGGTAACCAAAATTTTAAACTCTCATTTTTTTCTTGTTCTCTAGAGACGTCTGATAGACCATCGAATATGGAGTACCCTGTATAAACACGAGCACCAAAGTTATTACGAAGTTGCTTCTCAATTTTCACTTGTTTCTGAGTAGACTATAGCTCTTTCACAATCAATTGAGTAAAAATACTATACTATAAAATTGATAGTTTGTTAAACTGAATGAAAATTTATCTATACCGATATAATAAAACTGACTTTTTTTTTCTTTCGTTTGAACTGCCAGTTGGTTTTGAAAAATGATTTTCACCCCATTCATAAGTGAGGCATTTAATCTAATATCAAACTTAATGTATAAGTTTGAAAATGTCCTTATAGGACGAAACTGAAGTAACGTTAGTTACAAATAAAAGTGGTAAAAAAACATAAAATATTCCAATTCTCTTTTCTTCATTAATTTCTACAAAATAAATAAGTCATCAATCAAACACAAGTCAGTTTTTTCAAATGAAACACGCTGTATTCTATGATGGTTTTAAAATTCTCATAGCTCATTTGAATGAAGTTTAAAAAAAAGGAATTCGGTTCAGTTCCGGAGATTTTCAAAAAAACTGCCAGTTTCGTTCAGTTTTTTTTTTTCTAACGTCATTCAAGAATCCTTTCTCAGTGTCACTTTTCACACAAGATAGCGTTTAGAGATTCCAATATGACGTTTCGTCTTCGATAAACCAGCAACAATTTCAGTTTCTCATATGGACCGGAAAAAATTATCTAGTTTAAGTTAGCTTTTTCGGCGAAAACTTCACAGATTCAACACAATAATCGTTCAATACCAAACTTCGACTAATTCATTTTACTAACTCCTTTATGATTTTCGTACTGGTCCTTCTTATCTTAGAAGCATTATTATATATTGTGGAATTGTATATCAATTCAACTTGAAATATGAAATGTTTTTCTTTCCTCTTATATGCATCAAGTTCGAATCCTGATATAAAATTAGTTGATCTCTCTTGAGTAGTCTATTTCAGAAAAACAAACAGGTAAATCCGTCCATTTTATTCGTTTCCATTAGGGTACGTCAGCATTAGAGATTTTACTGTTATCGGTTCCAATTGACTTTTACGATACATTGAAAAATTCAGGTTTTTGTTCATTTTCACTGGGATAATAAAAGCCGTTCCATTGTACCTACCATGGATAAAAAATCAGGAATGTGAGTTTCTTGAAACGAGAGTCATAATTATTATTCGTGGAATCAGGATTGAATCGGTTTATTCCACATTCCCAAATCAAATTCAATTTTCAATCCGTAATAATGATAATAATAATAAAAGCGTTTACTGTCCAACATATTTATATTTATAGAGCAGTAATGAATAATTTTATCGTACAAATTATTGCACTACTTCACTATGTTACGATTAGAACTGCATTCCATATAAAACAAAAAATCAAATGAAAATTAAATATGAATCATTGATGATTATTCATAATCACAATTGGATAAGATATTAATTGTTGACCTCGCACATACTACAACAAAATATATCACATAAAGTAGGCAGCTGGTTTACAGTACTGTACAACAAATCCACCGGTGACTCTAACTATGAATTGATTTGAGTTCTTTTCCACAAAAAAGTGGTATTATTTTCAGATGTTCATCTTGGTACAAAAAAATCTATTGCAGAAAGTGATCGTCTGTTGCACAGTTTTCCTTTCCTCGACAACAAGAATTTTTGAGTTTGGAGTGTCTACATGACAGAATGATACTGGATGGAGCTCGTTATGTCGTCAGGAGTTCGGATTCTCTCCTCTGTATGGTCCGTGACCGTGAGAGAGCAGGCATTGGAGCATTTTTCCTTAGGGCAGCTGCCCTGCCAGCTGGTGTACTCGTTTCAGTTCTCGATCCTGAACGAGGTGTTGACAACTCTGTCACCAAGTTGAAACCCATTCAGGAAAAGGCCACTGAGATCACTTCACCCCTGCGACAATACTAGGATAAGACAATGCATGGCTTCTTCTTCAACAACATTGAAGACCTTATCAAATCGCCCGACTTTGGCTTCCTGCAGGTCGAGTGAGCTGAATTCGAAAACTGAGTGATGCATTATGGCCGGCTAGGGTGATGTATTCAATACTTCAATCTTCTGTAATCGCGTGCAAGACCTGCCGCGAGGCGTTGGAAATCCTAATGCACTTGCTGTCAGTATGTCCAGCATATAATAATAATAATGACAGTAGAAGGCTGTCATTCTTGGCTCACTGCGCTTGCTCAAGGTACATGATTCTCGGCCTCAATGATCACTTACCCCACGACGTAGGGAGTGGTCGTTGGTTGATAATGCTGGCGAGCCCTCCCGAATGTATCGGGGCTTCGGAGCATAGGGCCTGACCAGCGCCACTGCGGTAAAAAAATAATAATTATAATAATAATAATAATAACGNCTCATATGAGCTAATAAGCCTGATGTAGTCCTTCTCGACTACCAGAGCAAGACGATATTTGTCGTGGAGTTAGCTCTTGACGAGACGAATATCGTCCGAAAAGAGGGGGAAAACGGATAAAATATCGAGATTTACTCTTCGAACTCCGCAGACTCTATCCAGACCACTCTGTCAAGATGGTTTTTCTGATTATTGGAGTCCTTGGTGGAATGATGCCCTATCTACTCTCAAATCTTACCGGCTTGCCGCAGTATGGCAGAAACCTTAGCCGGACAGGTGCAGATGGCTGTCATTCTTGGCTCTCTGCTCTTGCTCAGGGAATATGATCCTTACCCCACGGCGTGGAGAGTGGTCGTTGCTTGATAATACTGGCGCGCGATCCCAAATGTATTGGAGCTTCGGGTGATAGGGCCTGACCAGCACACACTATGGTGTAAAAAGAGTGATAATAATAATAATAATAAGCGTCTTTGTTTGTCGTGTAGTTTTCAGCTCCTGACGAGACAAGTATCGTCCGAAAAGAGGAAGAGAAACGGATAAAAATATCGAGATTTTCTCTTCAAACTCCACAGACTCCATCCAGACCACTCTGTCAAGATGGTTGTTGCTCAGGCCACATGATTACCGAACACCACGTTGTGGCGAGTGGTCATTGGTTGATAATGCTGGCGCGCCCTCCCAAATGTATCGGGGCTTCGGGGAATAGGACCTGATATTATTTTCAAAAAATAAATAATAAAATCAAGATTGAGAAAATACATCGACAGAAAATTTTTAAAAATAAAGGGCGAAGTTCAGTTTGATTCCTGAATGAATTCAACAACTGAACTGGATATAGGCCGGTCTCGGCCATAATGAGCTTTGACTATGATGTTTCTAAATTTGACTTTCAATTTGTTACACTCAATGACATTTTGTTATTGTACAAGTCATTGAATTTTTGTCGAAAAATGGCTTTCACATTCGAAGAAAGAAGATATATGATACAAATTTATTACACATACGATAGAAACAGTGTTAGGACACGGAAATTTATTCAAACTTGTATCTCAAAAGGCGATAACCACATCGAACTATGTTCTAGTTATCGGATCAAAATCGGAATTGGATCGAATTTGAAACACCCTATATGTTTCTGATTTATATTATTTGGTAAATCGTTGTTTCCAGTCCTTTCCCTCGGCACCAGAGATCAAATCGAAATCGCCCCAATCCTTGGAATTCTGGTCGGCATCGTGACGGCCCTCCTTCTCGTTACCGTCATCATTCTAGGAGCTCTCAAGATCAGAGCGGCCCGGAGGGAAGGTTCTCAGGCCCTCAGGCCAGGATTCCTGCCAGTCAAAGAGAAAGTGACGCTGCCACTACGTTCGGAATCCGAAGACCTCTTCGAGAAGGATGACAAGAATCCGGACGTCATCCCGAGTAACAAAGGTGGGGTGGATTATATTTTTTTTGATATTTTGTCGTTATAGTTAAGAATGACTTGATTGATTGGTCCGGTTTTTCTTTCAATTATTATGATTTCGCACAACTGATTTTCATTAAAAAATAACATTTTTTTGAAGGTGATTGACAATGTTTCATGATGAATTTCACTATTTCCATTGTCTACTATATAAAATTGTCCATTATCTACTATATAAAATGATTTGAAATCCCTGAAACAACTAAAAAAGAAGAATTAAAAATGAATAGCTGAAAATAACAATTATATTAAGCAAAATAAACCTGAAATGAAATAATAGTGAAATAAAATACAAGTAAAATAGAACAGTTGAACAAAAATAAATAAAAATGAAGAAATGTAAAAAGAAAATTAAAATAGAAAGCTGAGAGATTTCAAGTCACGTTAGTTCAAGACGTTTCGATTGTTAGTATCTACAATCTTCTGCGGGTGATGACTGGATTGATTCCTCCGAAAGATGACTATTTATAGGTCGTTCGAGTACTTTCACTTATCCCCGCTTTCCATTTTCCGCTTCACTGGTTCCGTGGGAGATGACCGTTTGGCGGGAATTGGCCATTTTTCGCTTGATGATGGGTTTCCATATGTTGCGTATTTCTACGCTGGCTTGGCTGAATACGTTATTGGACAACATGAAAGCTGCTTCCTTGAATTTTCTCCTAAACCAATGTTCCTCTCTGTGCAAGATCTCAGCTTGGGATCACTCGATGTTGTGTTGATGGGTCCAAACATGGTCTGCTATTCCTGATTTGCTGGTTTCCCCTCGCTGTGTGTGTTTCTTGTGCTCGGTAATGCGAACAATCAATGGCCTCTTAGTTTCACCAATATAGGATTTTCCGCACTCACAGGGTATCCGGTAAATGCAATTCTTGGAATCGCAGTCCACGTTTGGTGGCCTGGTTTTCGTGAGGCTGCTACAGATAGTGTTACCGGATCTGAAACAGGTTCTGATGTTTTACTTGGAACCAATTTACCGGATACCCTGTGAGTGCGGAAAATCCTATATTGATGAAACTAAGAGGCCATTGAATGTTCGCATTGCCGAGCACAAGAAACACACACAGCGAGGGGAAACCAGCAAATCAGGAATAGCAGACCATCGAGTGGTCCTAAGCTGAGATCTTGCACAGAGAGGAACATTGGTTTAGGAGAAAATTCAAGGAAGCTGCTTACATGTTGTCCAACAACGTATTCAGCCAAGCCAGCGTAGAAATACGCAACACATGGAAACCCATCATCAAGCGAAAAATGGCCAACTCCCGCCAAACGGTCATCTCCCACGGAACCAGTGAAGCAGAAAATGGAAAGCGGGAATAAGTGAAAGTATTATTTCATTTCAGGTTTATTTTGCTTAATATCATTGTTATTTCCAGCTATTCATTTCAAATTCTTCTTTTTTAGTTGTTTCAGGGATTTCAAATCATTTTATATAGTAGACAATGGAAGTCCGAACTAATGAAATTCAGAAAATAACAGTTATGATGTTCACAACTGATGTGAAAACTTTCTGAAATCGAAATAAAATTTTGAAATTATTCAAAAACACTTTTTTCATGTTTGGGGATTGATAAAATCATTCGAAATAGATTTAAAAAAACAATCCTAACTGTTATTGAACGGTTTGCTCATTACTTCAAAAAAAGGTGTTGAGGTTTTCAGTTTTCCATCCAATTTTCACATATGTGATGGTTGGTCTTCCCCTTCTCCTTTCTCAATTATATTTCAATCAACTCATGCGTTCATTATTGTTTATTCGAAATGAGCTCACGTGCTATCTATAGCCAGTTCAACATGTTATATCCACATATTATTTTCTGATTGTTTTCTATTCAGGGCAGAGAAATAAAATATGTTTGGCGTCGTCTCATTAGCCACATATGAAAAATTTCGGGATTCCCTTATCTAGAAATATTTTCTGAGGCTTTATTTGTTGGGAATGACTTGAGTAGGATCATTTACTACTTCTGCGTATGGCCCATTGTATGAAATTTGGATATTTGGGACAAAATCAGGAGTTCATCTATCAAATTTTTCACCCTCTTAGTTGGATTGCCATCTCGCCATTAGGTACTTCCCAGCCACTAGTTTAGCTATACCCATGTACTTTCTCTGTCTTTCCTGAATAAGAAATCCAATGAGAGGAACTCTCATTGAATTTTGAACTCCTGTGGCTGAGACAGTTCGGTATGCAGAACAAAATCTAAAAAAAATGTTTTGGTTTTTACCTCTCCACTTCTATAGGAAAAGTATGGAAATATTGCAAAGAAAGAATAAAGCAAATGACTTCAAAATGTACTTTTAACAAATATGTGTACCCATAGATCATGCAAAGAAGTAACTTTCAGACACAAACTGAAAGAAAAAGCCCCTCTGAAACAACTACTCTTATATTATAAACATCGACTCACACGAAAGGAAATATAAGTACTTTCGAAACAACTATGTTTATACGAACATTGAGTCATACAAAATACAACTTTTCCCATCCAGTTTGTACTTAGAACATTCGTTATGGAATTGAGTATGATATTCACAGGATTGCTACACAATATAGTGTATGAAAGAAAAAAACTCGAGTTTCAGCAATCCTGTGAATAATATCGTTTTCGATTACATGACGTATGTTTGGAGTGCAAACTGGATACAAAAGAGTGTTTTTGTATAATTCAAAGTTCAAATGAGAGTAGGTTTTTTTGTCAATTGGTATCTGAAAGTAACTCTTCTGCATGATTTACACATCTTTGTATATAGTTCATTTTAAAATCAATTTCTTTGAAAAATTCCCAATTTTTTTCCCATGACGATGAAGTAGAGAACCAAATCCTTTGTTTCACAAAAATTGATCTACCCTTGAAACATACCTTTTCTCATTCAAATTGTGAAGGTTTTCATTTCATCTAAATATCTTTCTGACTGTATAAACCAAGTGCTCATATCAGATAAGATTGAACAAATAATTGGTTTCTGCAAAATAATTTATGTTATGTGTTACAGTTCATTTGCTTCATTTAGAAAGTTGAAATTTTTCATCTTGTCGAATTTTCAGATTTTTTCTATATACCTGAACACATATAGTTTATTTTGAAATCAATTTATTTGAAAAATTAACAATTTTTTTGCATGAAGATGAAGAAATAGAGAACCAAACCTTTGTCTCACAAAAATTAATCTCCCCTTGAAATATACCCTTTTTCATTCAAATTGTGAAGGTTTTCATTTCATCTAAATATTTTTCTGACTGTACAAATCAAGTACTCGTATCAAATAAGATTGAACAAATAACTGATCTCTGCAAAATAATGTACGTTCTGTGTTACAGTTCATTTTCTCCATTTAGAAAGTTATCATTTTTTATCTTGTGAAATTTTCTATACATACCTGAACATCATTCGGAATATTTAATTTCGAATCTATCTGATATACTTTTCTTGAAAGTAGTTATTCATTTCATGTTTGAAGATATCAGGTAGCGGAATCTTTCAATGATTTATTTTTTTTCCGGACAAAACTCGTATCCACCAGAAATAATTGAGTCCATTGATTTGTTTTCCTTCATCACATCACAGCATTTTTTGGTTTCCACTAGAGATTTTGGTTGGCTAAGGGCTGACTTACGAGGGCTGTTCAAAAAATTAGGTGAAATAAATTTTGTATAAAAATTTTCATTTATCCATCAGATATAATGAATTTGTACCAGCGTTTTTTCCATTCTTCAAAGCAGTTCTGCACTTCTTGGTACGTCCTTGAGTTCTCCCAGCGATTATGTTTGTATATCCTCAATCGTCACAATACACCGTCTTTTCATGAGTCTCTTCAATCTCGGTAACAGAAAAAAGTCGCAGGGGACCAAATCTAGTGAATACATTGGCTGCTTCATAGTAACGGTGTTGTTCTTTGTCCAAAAAATCACGATCAAGCAGTGACGGGTGAGCAGGTTCATTATCGTGGTGCGAAAGCCATAAATTGGTTTTCCACAATGGCGGACGTTTTCTTCGGATCACTTCTCGCAAGCGGCTTTCACTTCAGGATAATACTTCTCATTGACCGTACGACCGTACTTGATGAAGATCGATAGTAATTTCATAAACTACAACTCACAATAGTTTGATCTCCACAAACTTCATTTGAAAAATATATCACGACATGTTGTAGTTTATGAAATCACCCATGATTTGTCATCAGTAATGTCTCTTTTGAGCAAATATGTATCGTCGTTGATGTCATTCAACAGTTCCTGAGCGATGCTCATGCGACAGTTTCTGTGGCCGAAATTCAGCAACTATGGAACGAACTACGCTGCCACATGCTTCATGCCCAAAATTTTTGAAAAAATTGCGTGGCATGAGCTAACTTATCTGCTAACATTCTCAGCAATTTCTCTGAAAATAGTGATTCGACGACTCTCCATAACAATTTCCTTCACATTTTGAACATTTTCATCGAATTTTGATGTGCTGGTGCGACCAGGACGTCCAGGGCGTGCATCTCCTCGAGCTTTCGTGAACATTTTTCGACTCAGAGTAATTTTATACAGATTCTTGAATCTGTTTTTTTCGATAGCAGAAAATCCTGGAACAGTCAAAACACTTCTGACTTTGATGCCTCCCACCAACAAACTAAACATGCTAAACAGCTGAAACATATGTTCGAGATGAGTGTACCAACATAAAAAATCGAAAAATTGCTAATCGAATGTACGTAGCCCAAAAAATTTGAACATTCACCTTCTTTTTTGAAAAAATCACGTATAGGTTTTCTGGATTCTCCAATAGTTGAGATATTGAATCCTGCCCCAGGAATCAAGGAGTCCTCATGAACATTTGTGTGTTTTCAGTTTGAGAAAATGTTTTTGGAGATACTCTCGGATGATCAGTATGAATTTTGCCAAGCCGAGTCAACACAATATACAATGGTTCATTTGACAAAAAAAATTTTGAGGCTGGATATAGGAGAAACCACATTATGTGTCTTCGTTGACTTGGCAAAGGCATTCGACAGTCTGTCACCACAAATTACTGAGAATTAGAAAATAAAGGTTTCAGAGGTGAACCATTGAAACTTCTCACTAGTTACTTATCGAATAGAAAACAGAGAGTTGAAATCAATAGTTCATTCAGTAGAGATCAAGTTATTGAGTATGGAGTGCCCCAAGGAACGGTGCTTGGACCTATTACATTCAATATTCATATCAATAGTCTCTACAATATAGATGTGGAAGCGAATATCATCAGCTTTGCCGACGACACCGCCCTCCTATTTCGTGATATTTATCGCCGAAAGGGAATTGGAAACTTCATTTATTTGGTTCAACAGTAGACTACTAACAGTAAACTTTTCTAAGACCTACTTTATTGCCTTTTCAATTCATAACAACAACTCGCCCACATATATCAAAATTACAGTCAATATAAACGGCAATTTCATTGACATCGAAAGGAGAGAACATATAAAATATCTAGGCCTCACTATAGACCAAAATCTTAGATGTCAGGAACACGCTGAATACGTAACAAGAAAATTGAGATCATTGATAACAAAATTCAGACTGTATCAAAAATTATTCAAGTCGAAACAAATGAACATACTTTATGCAAGCCTAGTCCAAACACATTTAAACTATGGCATACTTATTTGGGGTGGGATAATTAATGATTATATTAAAAGCCTAGTAGTGACACAAAAATGGCAGATAAAGTTAATGCACAATTAAAGTTATAGATTTCCGTCAGATAAACTCTTCCAACAATATGAGCTATTTACAATCCATCAAATGTACTTCCTTAATCTTGCATTTCACCATCACCAACACAAGTATGAACTGTCCCAAATTCTGAAAAACTGAACAACGACTGAAAAACCAAACAACCAGAATACCAAAGGTTTGAACTACAAAAAACCAAAGATTTCTCTCTTATCTCTGGCCGATAATTTACAGAAAAATCCCAAATGAAATAAACACTTAATTTTCGTTTTCTATTTAGGAAGGAGTTGAAGCAGGTACGGATTTTAAACCAGCTCCCCGAACTAATTCTCGAAGCTTTTTAAAGAGAAATTTAGAAAACAATTTTAATACAAATTGGTCCCTGACAATACATAGACACAGAAAACTCTAAAGTACATTCAACTTGAATGCCAATATTTCTGAATGTTTACTTTATTATTACATTTTATAGATCAGACTCATGTTTTAATAGCATGCCCACGCACAAGTTTTCACCTTTTAAGGGTCTTCTATTTTATTTGCTATTATTGTTACTAAAAATTATGAGCGAATAAATTATATTATTATTAATTGTAGGATTCATACTTCTTTTTCCGCAGTTTTCATTCATTGCTTTATTATTGAAAAGCGTTCTTATATATGAATTCTGTATGATACTAAAAACCCTTATAATTTTAAAGATTTTCACTTTAATGTTATATTCATACTGGAAAGTCAGTTTATGTCCCTCTGAACAGCCATTTCCATTCACAATTATATCTGACTCTGCGTTGCCTTCAGAGTCCGATTTGAAATAATTTTCTCCCAAGTCGCCCTTCCAGCGAGTACGTTAATAATGGACGATTTAATAATTTTTTTGCAGATTCCGACTACCAGTTGGGTTCGGCCGTGCAAACTCCGGGTCTGAATAATTCAGTGACCGCTCCTGCTGAATACGAGACGGCAACCCCTGTCACCCCGCACCAGCAAAGCCCCGGAGCACTTCAAGAGGCCTACATGGCTCGGGACAGGAATTACATACCGCAACACGTAAGTTTCTCGATTTTGAGCAAAGTTGAAGGGAGGACTTTCGACTGGAGTTCGAGAAAGTGGAATTTGGCGGGCGATGACGAAGGCAGACCCGTATCATAGTAGTTGTTAAAATTGTTCAACTATCGTATACCTAGTCTCGCATACCTTCCGATATCTGCAGAGACCCCGGGGTTGTTTTGCCACGTGGTTGGTTTTTGCTGTGGATTATCTGGGTCGTATTTTCGGATACAAGCACTATGTTGAATTCTTTCAGGGCTGTCCAGAACTCGGCTGTGATGCATATTTTAAAGTGTATAGTAATCAGAAAATACTTTTGGGCATAAATAGTATAGATAATAGAATTTTTGTCTAAATATATGATCAATATTTGGCATAATTTATTTAACTTTATTCTTTTAACATTTCATTCATATGTTATTCTTTGAAAGTGAAGCTATCTTTTACTATTATTGGGAAAATCCCCAGAAAGTATTTTGTTTTCGTAGACTGAGTATTTGTTGGTACCCGTATTAGTTGATCTTGTGCTGTCACTAGTTTCGTACTGCCACTGTGTACCTACAGCTTTGAATTTTACACATTATAATAAGTTGCAGTTTTAAGAAATATAATCAACTAACTCCATTATGTCTACGAAAAAGCGAAAATTAGGTGATGAACATCGTGTATTTAATGAGAAGTGGGAATTTGACTATTTTATTTGTAATAATAATGACAACATTCAGTGTATGATTTATATACAAGTTTTGTCTGTGAGTAAAGAATATAATGTTAAACGTCATTATACCATTTTACACGAAGAAAAATATGAAATACATGTCGATGAATCAAGAAAAATTGTTGTGACTGAGAATAAGAAGAAATACGGTGTGTTTCAAATATGTTCTTGTATTGTGACTTTCTGCCGTTTTACAAGCCAGAACAGAAATTGGAATGGATTATTTTAAGATCCTTGGTGATCGTTTTCCCAAACTAACAGATTTTGGCTTGAAAATGGGATCGATGATGGGCTGCACTTATTTATGTGAAAGTGCGTATTCAACCGTGAACTTTTTAAAATCTAAGTATAGGTCTTCACTGTCAGATAAATCATTTTTTCATGCAATGCGTCTGGCAAAAAGGAATGTTGACGTCGATATCGTTATGATTGCCAAAGATGAATTATGAACCAATACACGAATTTATTTTTGAAAACAGTTTTTTGTTCCTGCAGTCCTCCAGCTTCTGGTGTAAATTCAATTAGCCCGCGGAGGCATGTAGCTTGGACAGCCCTGCTTTTGTGTGAAGGCAATTATAATGTTACTTTCAGGAACACTATATTACACATATGATTTTAAAATATGATAGAACATGATACTTGATGGAAATCCACTATAACGTATTGAAAAATGTGAGATTTCCACTTGAAACCGTGACACGTGTTTCGCTATACAAAAATATCTTCAGACGTCTCAATATTGTTCAACTTTTTGGGAACTATTCATAAAACTGGGGAATATGAGTGTGGTCTGAAACGTTTCCAATCTAACAAAGATAGAAGACATTTTCATCGTTTTTTTTTTATTTCTCTATATATGAAGTCTCCTTTTACCTCTACACAATCCTTCCAGCGATGATCCCATGTCTATAACCCGTCCAAATAGTACTCTGCTTTTTCTCTGCAGAATAATTGTTCACGAGAATAATTTCGTCTTCATTTGACAAAAATGTCTGCCCTTCGAGTGTACTTTCTAGATGAGAAAATAAACAGAAGTCGCTTGGGCTAGATCTGGTAGGTTAGGCGCATAGTCAAGCACTTTGAATTGTAGTTCGTAGATTTTAGCCATGGCAACTGGTGAGGTATGAAACAGGATTTTCTTCTACAAATGTGGCCATTTTCCCGCAAATTCTGCCGTCAGCTTTTCGAATAATGCTGCTTAGTATGCTCCGGTAATGATTTCTCATGTTTGAAGGTAATCGAATGAAATAACCTATGACTATGTCAAAAAACAGTCGAGATCACTTTCCTAGCTGGTAAAACCAGTTTTTGCTTCTTTAGGACCAGTTCCTTCTTTGTAGTCCACTAATTGAACTGTATTTTTATTTGGGGCATATGATGGTATATCGTTCAATCTATAGTAAATAATCGGTGCTTGCAGCACCCTCTTTTGCAAAAGAGTGAGCAGCTACATTGTCTTCCAAGCCAGTATGGTCAGGAATCCAGACCAAAGACAACCTGTTGAGTCATCATATCGAGGAGAGTCGTTTTCGGCAATTTGCTACCAATTTGAACATTGCTCGGTGGCAGTCAAGAGCTTTCAACGCCGCTTGACTGTCCGAGAGTATACAGTCGCATAGGTTCCTAGGCAGGTTGATATATCTGTCTTGAACTTGCGACTGAAAACACCTGCACCATAATCGGAAGGTGTTTTTGAACCATCTGTGAACCAACAACTATCTGCACTTAATATTTCCTTCTCCCGGAGGATCCAATCCTCTCTACTAGGAAACAGTACTTTATAAGGCAGTTCGTAGCTGACAGTTGGAGGCATAAAGTCAATAGTCATTTCCAGGATGCTGTGATTCCAGTATCAACATTAAATTGATTTGTGCAATTGGCAATGTCTATATGCAGTCCATCTAGATCTAGCCTTTCTTCAGAAAAATGTGGAGAGGAAGTAGATCCATGGCCGCTGACGATGTGGTATTGATGAGACCACTGATGTCCAGACAAGCTTGTCTCTGTAAGCCAGAGAACTTGGCCTGGGCCGTTTTCTGTAAAGCCTTCGGCCACCAGAAAATTGCACTATAAGTGATCATTGGTCTGACACTCATCACATGAATCCAATAGATTTGTTTATGACCTAAACCCCAAAATTTACCATAAATCCTTCGACATGTCCATAGGAACAGTCTGGCTTTGTGTGAAATTTTTTCCAAGTGAGCGTTCCAGGTGGGTTTTTTATCAAGGTCAATGCCAAGATATCTCACCTCCGTTCCAAATGGAATGCCCTCACCATTGAAGGAACGTGATGTTAGATCGTCCAATTGTGTGATAGGATACCTCTATCTCAAAATATACCACATGACGATCATACATTATCTGTTCATGCACTTCACCGATGTTTTGTAGCACAACCACCGATTTTGGACGACCTTCACAGAATTCATCTGCGACCGAACTATGACCACGATTGAATCCACTAAACCAGCGATATACTGTGGTTTTTGATTGTGCTTCATGGCCATATAAAGAACTGAGTTCATCGACTCATTCTTTTTGGGATAATCCACGTCGAAAGTTGTGAAAAATAATCCAACAAAAACCTTGTCTTGAAATTCACGTTTTTTTATCAAATTGATTTTTTTTGACTCGCTGAAAACAAAACAACTAGAACGTTGTGAGTACGTTTATTCTGAAAAATGTCAAACTTTATTATGGTGTTGCCAAAATTAACCTATTGATATCAGTGTTGCCAGTTCCCGAAATGAAAATAGTCCCCCATCGTATCTATTACTTGAAGTGGCAAATGTGGAGGAAACGAGTTTTATTTTCTCTCAACTTGACGATGAATCAAACATAGCTCTCTAATTTTCTAAACGGATTGATTTGCACTACTAAACTTGTTACAAATAGTAAGGTATGCAAAGCTCACTCTAACGTTGGTAGACAGAATTAATTTAAATTCTGAGAAACTCGGTTTCGTGTACCTAACAAAAACAACCACCATGATTACGTAATAGAGATCTATTCCCACGAGATTTCCAGGATTCATGCATATGTAATCAAATAGGTGGGCGACAGTGGAACAAAATTGAAAGGTAATATATAAATTCTGAAAGAGCAAATTATTTGTGGTTCATCTATCAAAAACAGTTCGAAAGTTCAAATTTGCAAACCGTTTTCGTAAGAATTTGGAAAAAATCACATCAATACTTCAGTCGTCATCAATACAATATCCCCAGCATCTAAAATATCCTTCAACTTCATAAGCGTATTTTATAAAATGAAACAGGGTGAAATTTATATGCCCACTTTCTAAAGCACATCGAAACACCTTAAACTTGCTGGTCTTTATCCCAGTAATTTCTTCCGAAAAGTATTAGTACCAGTGGGTGAAATGTTGATTATCTAAAGAAAAATAATGAAAAGGTATGTTTCAACATAGGGCCTACTCAAGTTACTTTACCAAGTTCCGATTGTATTTCTGTCAATGAATAATTTGAGAAAAGTAATAACATAATAAATGCAATGAAACGATGGTTTGAAAAACGTTGAAAAAGCATTGAGGTCATTCTATTTCGAACTCTATTCGTCTCTTCAAAATGATTAGTCTCCTCAAGCATCAAATTCTGGAACTATTATTACACTAGCACGTATGGAGAAAGTTCTAGAAATGACAGGCTTTAATGGGAAAAATGGGAAAGCTGTTATGAAAAACCGTTTTGTAATCATCAATAAGTGCTTTGAAAAACGTCAATAATCATGACAAATATGCTACATACATATGCTCACATCTATCTTTCCAGATATTGAAGTAATCACTTTCACTAAATAGGCAGATGTTAGAATGGAAAGTAATGTTGATGATTGATTAACAGATTACTCGCAAGAGAGTTTATCAGGTTCATCAGGGTTTATCAGGAATCAATAGTGTTGAAGTATTCTAGGGGATTATCTGAAAACTATGAGTCGACATAATTATTACTTCTTTTCTGCAGAAGACATATTGTTGTCTTGCAGTAACAAAAATGCGATCCATTCCGATGGGAATGGGAACAGTGAACTAAACGTACTGAATCAATGTCAGAACTATCAAATCATCGGATGATTATTATCCAAAACTCTAAGAAACCCCTGAATAACTACTTTACTTGTGACCATTCATTTCATTCAGTCGACTTTCGAATCTTTGAAAACCATTTTTCTTCAATAAGTGGCGAATGTTGAGCATTTCGAACATAGTTTTCTGCCATTGAGTCCAATTGCTTCATTCGTATTTTTCGAGAAATTCTCTTGA